AAGTTCTGGAGCAGGCACAATAACCGAAGAGCAGAAGTTTAATATAGGAAAGGAAAAAGTGGGGGTGGATGGTGAACTAGTGATTTGAATCGACTGGTACAGCAACGCGGTGAAAGCCTGGGAGCTATAAAAGCAGATTATTCGCTTTCTGACGGCGGCCTGGAATGGTAATGTCTCGCTGCTTTTCCCCTGGAAGTTTTAATGCAATTGTACACCGTATCAGGTATTAAAAACTTCTCATCCTCCCACTCCGCTCCTTTATTTCCTCTGTGTTGGTTCAGATGCTTTGTAGTTTTGAGTCTCATTTTTTTATTCTTAGAAATTGAGAGCTAGTTCAGTGAATCTGAAGATCTCTGTATGTTCTGTAGATTAATATGCTAGTCAGATATTAAGTAGATAAAATCATTTAGACCTGAATTGTATACTGATTTACAGAACAGATGCTAGATTGTGATTGGCTTGTGAGAATTCTTTTTGCGCACCAGCAGAACTGCATATTGTCTAACAGATGAAATAGTTTTAGCATAACTTAAAATATGTACAGTGTCTTCAGAATTTGAATTATTAGGTTTTTTGATTGTGGTATTAATTAATTAATTTATTTTTAGAGGTGTTGGTTCCATTAATTAACTTTTAAAGAATAATATCAAGTCATAAAGGAAATTAGTCACATTGTTTTGCAGATTATTATGCATTTTTTAGGTTTTAAATGCAAGTAACTTAATCAGTAGGTCGAATCATTTAGACTTGAATTGTAAACTGATTTATTGAACAGATCCAAGTTGGTCAGTGGCTTGTGGGATTATTATTTTCTCACCATCAGCACTGCATTATATCTAACAGATGAAATATTTAATGCCTGAATAAATATCTACAGTATATTCATGGAGAATTTGATTTATTATGTTTTATGATTGTGATTTCAATTTATTTATTTGTTTATTTTTAGAGGTGTTGGTTCCATTAATGAACTTTTAAAGAATAATATCAAGTCATAAACAAAAGTAGTCGTATTGTTCTGTAGATTAATGTGCATTTCTGTTTTGAAATGCAGGTAACTTTAAATCTAATCATTTAGACTTGAATTATAAACTGATTTATTGAACAGATCCAAGTTGGTCAGTGGCTTGCGGGATTATTATTTGCTCAGCAGCAGCACTGCATAATATCTAACTGATGAAATATTTTATTGTATAACTAAATGAATATGTACAGGATCTTCATAGAGAATTTATATTGTTTTATGATTGTGATTTCAATTTATTTATTTATTTACTTATTTGTTTGTTTATTTATTTGTTTATTTTTGTAGATATGTTGGTTTCATTTAATAAACTTTTTAAAAGAATAATTTGAATTATTAGGTTTTATGATTATGATTCCATTTTATTTATTTATCTATCTATATATTAATTTTTTTAGAGATGTTGGTTTCATTAATGAACTTTTAAAGAATAATATCAAGCTTTAAAAGACATTGTTCTGTATATTAATATGCTATTCAGGTAACATAATCATTAGATCCTATCATTTGGACTTGAATTGTAAACTGACTTATTGAATTGATCAAAGTTTGTGATTGGCTTGTGGGATTTTTTTTCCTCACCATCAGCACTGCATAATATCTAACAGATTAAATAATTTTAACGTAACTATATATATATACATACACAGTATATTCATGGAGTTTTATATTTTAATGTACTGTTCCTTTAACACAGTTAAATGACAAAAAATATAATAATAATAGCTTTACTCATCCAGAGTGTGGTGTTTTCTACTCTTATGAAAAAAAACATGCAAATATAGTTATTTATTTACTGTTTGATTGACGTTTGGTAAATTAAAAAAGACAAATTCTAGATTTCCCATTATGTTAGATATGTTTGCAATTGGGCATAAAACCGTGCATCAGATCCACAAATGAACAATTTTAGCGTGTGGATTGGTAATTACCGTTTAGTTTATTTGTCATTCTCATCAGCATGTTTCAGATTAGCTGTCAGGCTGTGGTTCGCATGCAGTGTTTTACCTTTGATTGCGTTTCTCGATACGATGCGGTGATGATGTGCCGTTTTGAATGGTATATGACAGATTACAAATGTACGCCATCCGATGTTAGTTGCACCTCAAAATTTCTCTTCACATTTCACTTTTTTTAAAGGATAGTAATATGACAGGTGCGTTTCTCATCAATATCAGTTTATTTGTGTGTGTTTAGATGCTGGGAAGCTTCATCTGCAGCGAGCGGGAGATGCTGTGTGTGGCGTGACAGGGTGTGGTTTCTATTTGTGATTAGATTTTCTCAAAAGCTTTTATTAACTTAGCTCTGGTTAAGGTGTGGCCCCTCTGCGAAGCTGGAATTGCTTGATTTAATATCCATTTGCATCACAGACTAAATGAGGAAATTGCTCTGGACGGTCTGTCGAAATAAGACAGGCCCCTGTTTTGTTAAATCATGAGAAACCGTAATTGCCCTCAATTGAAACTGGCCAACGCGCAACGCAAAATGATGTTTAACTGGTGTGTGCCATTCGAACCCGCTCGCAGAAATTGACGTCTGCGCCAAAGGAAAGTCTAGTTAATAGCGCGATTTGCCTGCTATGAACAAACACGCATGACCTCATCCAGTTCTGATGGAAATTTTTCGCTATGAATCACTTTATAAATTCCCTATTTCTCTCTCTCTCTATCATCTTTGATTTTGGTAACTGATTAAAATGTGTGTCTGTAAGCCACATCAGTGACATAAGCACAGATTTTATTCATTAAAACGTCATCAACAAAGGCCGGCGCCGGCATAGTCACCGATATTAGAACCTCATTGCTGTTTATGGATTGAGCTGGAGGAGCAGAACCGTTTCTCGGGCTTTTGGTCTCAGAGAATCAAAGAACAATTGAAGAAAGAAGCTTTTATATTTATTGCGCTTTCTTTTTCTGAAGAAGCTTTTATGGAGAGCAGAATGGGCGCCACTTGCTTGTTTTTTAGCATGGAGCAGACAGCACCACACAGTGAGCGTGTTTCTTGAGTAATGGTGAGTAGGAGTGTGTGAATATTAAGAAGAAAAAAGGGGGGATTTTGTTCAATAATTATTTCAGAGTGTGTTTTAGTGTTGTTTAGTAGGCCTTCATTTATTTTCTTGTCGGCTTAGTCCCTTTATTAATCTGGGGTGGCCACTGCGGAATGAACCGCCAACTTATCCAGCACATTTTTTACACAGCGGATGCCCTTCCAGCACACACTCATACACTATGGACAATTTAGCCTACCCAATTCACCTGTACCGCATGTCTTTGGACTGTGGTCGAAACCGGAGCACCCGGAGGAAACCCACGCGAACGCAGGGAGAACATGCAAACTCGATACAGAAACACCAACTGAGCCGAGAATCGACCCAGCAACCTTCTCGCTGTGAGGCGACAGCACTACCTACTGCGCCACTGTTTAGTAGGCCTGTCATGTATAAATAAATGCAGTACACTAAAGCCACCAGTAGGTGGTGACAAGTTGTTGTCTTAATCAGTGATTTGTTTGTAATGATTTGTTCTAAACAGTTCATTTACACAAGTAGCAGACAACAAGGGTTGTCATAATACTGGAATTCAGTACCAATTGATGCTGTAATTTTAAAAACGTCCATTTGAGCGATGTTGAGTCCGTTCTTAAACACCGCTGATTTGCTATCGTTTTCACGTGCGCAACAGAAATGATTGTGATTGGCTGTGAAGGTCACCAGTTCACCAAACTCATTGCTGTTTACTGAGTGTAAACACACATACAGGGACACTGGAGCATTTCAAAGACACGTTGATCAGCTGGTTTGTCTATAAGCTGAGAGATTGTATGGGTGTTTTCCAGTACTGGGTTGTGGCTGTAAGGGCATCCGCTGCATTATATATATATATATATATATATATTAGGGGTGTCGATTAAAAATCGAAATCGATCGAAATTTATGCTTAATTTCGATTATCAAATCCAAAAATAGAATCGTCGATGCTGCCACGCCCCCATGTCACGTCAGCTTGGCTTGCCAAGCGGGAAAAAAACAGGCTTGTTGAAGTGCTTGTTGAACTGCAGATACAGGAGACCCGTCGACAGAGCTTAAACTCTCTCCTCTTTCAATGAAGTCGCCGGTGTGTAAGCATTTTGGATTTCCAGTGAGTTATGTCGACAACGTTCGTGTTGTCGACAAAAAAAAACACAGTTTTGCAAACTCTGCTATGTACGTATTACGTACGGTTTGTCTGATAGACAACACCGGCATCGCGATCCTCCACCCGCCCCCTTTGCAAATCCGCTCGCAAAAAGTACACACTCAGGCCCTGTTTACACTGTCTTTGTTTTTAAATGGCATTTTAGAACGACAACGATTTGACATCCACAGTGGCGTGTAGCATTTCTGAGCAGCCCTCCTTCCTCTCTACCGCTGAAAATGCACATCACGTGACCACACAGACACAGACACACGCAGCCATGCGCTCGAGACAGCAGGTCCAGGCAGTCAGAGGACTGCTTCAATCTTTCACTCACTTGTACTTAGTCATTTTAGCGAACACCTCAGATACTGTTGGCTGGTTTCTGTTGGTTGTGCGTCTTTTTTACCGACGCCATTATAACGACACAGATCACTGCCTATTCACGAGTCCCGCAGAAAAAAGTGATTGACAGGTGGTAATTATGTGTGTATCTTGCCTTTATTCATTTACTGTATGATTTGTTTATGGGTAAAACAAAGACCATGCAAGTCAGGTAGTTTAAACGGTAGGCTACAAATAATTAATTGGTCATTAATTAATTAATTATTCATAATCTAAAATCGAATCGTGCCTTCAGAATCGAAAATGTAATCGAATCGAGGATTTGGAGGATCGTGACACCCTTAATATATATATATATTCAATACAGTGAAACCAAGATATTTTCATCCAATGTTATAACACCATCAAATTCTTCTCTCTAGTGTCTAACACAGTTCTCCTCTTCTGTTGTCCTCCAGATATGGTGCGGAAAAAGAACCCCCCTTTGAGAAGTGTCGGCGGTGAAGAAGAGGAGGCTGAAGCGGTGCTGGCCGGAGCCACGGATCCAGAGAGCGCCACCACGGGGAGCCAAAACTCAGAGGCCGACCGTGAGGACCAGGAGGAGCCGGCGTCCCCTGGCCCTAACAAACCTGACCTTCATTACTCCGGCCAAAACTCCAGCCGAGAGGGCACCGACACCGAACCGCTGGCCTCGCCAACCAACTCTGATCCTGGTGAGAGAGAACACAATTGATTTGTGTTAAGAGAACATGAAGAAATTAAGTTGACTTACTAGTTTAACAAATTTGAGTGCATTGAACATAAAACAATCAAGTTATCCAAAAAAAGCTGAATAATTATGTTGTTTCTGCTCATTTTAAATATGTAGTTTGAACAAAGAGCAAACATACTTTTTTTTTTTTTGAGTGCAGAAGGTGAAGAAGACTGTCTTAAAATCTCCACCCGGGCCAGCGGTGTCATCGTACAAAGCTGCACCAGTAACGGAGAAGAAAGGGACGTCACAGGAAGCCCTCCATCATTGCTTAGCTCTGACAGTCCTGTTGACGAAACCCTGGATATCTCTAAAGTTCCTCCAGTCACGCTTCACCCACAGCGGCCCGTCGGAGGAGCTGAAAACGCCCACAGTCCTCTAGGAGGTGAAACCGGGGCGCCTCCAGCCTCCTCTCCCAAACTGCAAGACTTTAAGTGCAACATTTGTGGATACGGTTATTACGGCAACGACCCCACGGATCTGATCAAACACTTTCGTAAGTACCACCTAGGCCTGCATAACCGGACGCGGCAGGACGCAGAGCTGGACAATAAGATTCTGGCGCTTCACAATATGGTGCAGTTCACAGCCCAGACGCAGGCCAAAGAGTCAGCGCGTGTCCTGGGGCAGCCGGTGCAGAGCGGGTCTGTGGTCGAGGCTGGGTCACCCAGAGCTTCAGTGCTCAACGGCACCTACGATGTACAGGTAATTACAAAAAAAATCAGGCTTTTCTAAATTAATAGCTTAACTAAATTTTTAACTAAATTAATAACTTACATTTTAAATACATAACTTATTTATTCTGTACTGTAATAAAAACAATACTACTACTGAAATAAATAATTTTATAGCTGTGGTAATTTTACATTGATCATAATTAAATATAAACAATACAAAAATATTGACTTTATCAATTTAATATTTACTATATTAGTGGTCAGCCATTATTGGCGTTAACGCAAGACTCTTATCGCGCGATAAAACAAACATCACTGTTAATCTATTCTCAAAATTGGGTTGGGAGCTGGGTCTATTCTACACTAGCTATGATGACTTTCACCTTGATATTTCAGCGCGGATATAAACCTGGCTAAATTGCACTGTATGTGCGTATTCCTACTGTGAAATTACCTCATCAAACGTTACGTGCTAACATGGATGCAGTTCACTAGAGTGAATCTGATTAATATTAGCTCCACATCTGACTATCAGGCACCTGTAGAGTTTATGCGTTCCAGTAAAACATACACAAATAAATTAGACCGGGTGCTTTTTAAAATGAATGACGGTGAATGAAAGTCAAACCAGTGAACCGTCTGACAAAAAAAAGTGCCCTTCTTAATCAAATCAGCAGGATGCCCTTCTGGATCTTTCACTTACTTCGAAGATTCTACTGACTGCACTAACATGGACATCTGTAGTCTAGTTATTTGCCTTAATAGACAATAATATAATTAAGGTGTTTACGTGAAGTGCTTTCATGTAAGAGTTTCTTGTAGTTTTGGGTGACTTTAACTGCAGTTCGGCAGTTTCACTTTCACCCATGAACATTTCATTCATGCCCCCGTGACAAACTGGGCTATTGGACGCAAATAAGGAGTAAGGACTGGTGAGAGTGTTGTGGAATTTAATAACACATGCCTGATAGAAAGATAGAAAAAAAAAAAAAACTTCCGCATTTCGCAATGTGTGTGTGTGTGCGTGTGGTCCTTTACTGACAGCCGTGTGTGTGGATCTTGTCAGAAAATATGGTGAAAAGTCCTACATGACGGTAATAGTTTGATCAATGTGTTTACTTCAATAATACCTCTAATATCTGCATACTCCACATGTCTTAAATCCATTTCTGTTTAGTTCAGTTATGACTTTAGTCGGATTAAGGTCATCAAAAATCGCTTTTACAAACTCATGTAGGTCTACAGTTCAACATTCATGTTTAACTGAATAAACAGTGAGTAAACACAAGTACGTCTTATTGAACATCATCAATTTTCATCTCCAATTATCATAGTAGAACAGTTCCTCAAGCAGTTTGTGATGCATTTTGGAAACAGGAGATGAGCCCCTGGTCTAATGCGCCACCTGGCTTGAGAAACCCGTTCTCAAAGACTTACTTTTAGCCATTATTTGGGTAGCACACATATTATGAATGCCTTTGGCAGAATTTTAAATGAGCCATTTTAATCTAGATTAATTTGAAGATTACAGTGAGATTAATCTAGATAAAAAAAAAAAAAAAAATCTATGCCCACCTATAGGAGTGCTCAACATAATTGAATACCCCCATTTGAAAATGAATATTTTTATTAATTTCTAAGTGAATATAGGCAGTGTATTTTGGTGCATTTAAACAAAACAGATTTATTAAACATATATATTTATTCAAATAATATTTTAGTCACCAAATATATTAAGAAATTAAAACATAATACAATTAAATTCAAGCAAAATATTGCTAAATAAATTACAGTTTACAAAATTTCAACTATTTAAATTTCATTTTATGCTTCTTGATTTTTCCTCATTTTCTATATTTGTATTTAATATTTTTTCATAACATATGAATTGGGTGTACTAGTTTTTGGACCGCTATCGTTAAGATATGTTGTTAGATAAGCTCCACGTTTCTAAATATAATTTTATGATTGATGAGCTGATTAGTTTAATTATTATTAATTTTTAGAGATGATGAGCTGATTAGTTTAAACATAAATCATTAATAATAATAATAATAATAATAATAATAATATATTAATTAAAATAAATTATAAAAATATTAATATAATACTGATATTAATATTTTTTTAAAACTTGAAAGTTTAATATAATAAATGTAGTAATAGGAAAAGTGTCTTGAACCGCAAACCAGCATATTACTTATGCTATATTATATCAGCGTATTATCATCATATTATCATATTATTTATGTAAAAGGAAAAAAAAAGAAATGAAACTTTCTGCATGATCATGTAACAGAAATTACAGTTTTGAATCACAAAAAATGTTAGTATTTTTAGATGTATTATTGTAATATATAAACTTTATATTGAATTTCAAATAATTTTAACATCAAAATACATTTAATGTAAAATCTAGTTACTATTTTACTCTTAACCTAAAAATAAACACATTTGTGTATGCATATTGGAGTTTCATATCATACCTCTCATCTCCTGTATTGTAATCAAATCAGGCCGTCTGTCACCTGTGAAATGCAGTTTTATGATGCATGGAGTTGCTCCCTATTTAGCGCATTCCGAGTCAGTGATTTATGAGGGCTTTCTGTTGCTCTAAACCTTAGGAGCCGCCTTGCTTCCTACATAGGCAGAATTAAGTCAGACCCATGGGTCATTAAGACTTTAAAATGATGCATGCTCATGCAACTGCAAAACTTCACATTTATATCACAGAAGTAAAACCACTAGACGGACGGTAACACTACATGATGCATGCAAAGTCATGCACGCGCTCAAACTTACACACTGATGAACATTGGCTGAATTAATTCCGAAATTTTGACTGGCCTTCATATTTGTTCATGCGTGCGCTTTTAAAATAACTCCGTGAATAAGCAATCAAGCTGCTCCATTGAAATCTAAATGAATGCATCATTTGTCATTTCACCTTGGTGATTTCTGATTTACAGAAACAAACAAACAGGAGAATGTGAAGGAGATTAGACGGATCATGTTGGCACATTGCATCTGGCTTTGTTCTGTGACTTTTGGCTGATTTGGCGTAGCACTGGCCCCAGTGTATCATGTTTAGATGGAGCGGTAATAAATATGTATAAATATGAAGAATGAGTCTATTCAGAATTTGTTCTCAGTGGAATTTTCTACGCAGTAATATCGACAAGTGTGATGTTGAGATATTTAATGACTTCAACAAGGATATTGACGCACAATTCCAATATCTATAAAGATGCCACACAAAATTTGAAAAACAAGGAAATAAAAAAATGGATAATTATTGCAAATATTTCATTATTATTATTATTATTATTATTATTATAATTATTATAAAGTATACATTAATTATTATGTTGAGACATTTAATGACTTTGACACAAAACTTTAATTTTCATAAAGATGCCATATAAAATAAATAAGCAAATAAATAAATAAATTAACAAATAAATAGATAGATGCGTATTATTATTATTATTATCATCATCATCTTCATCATCATCATTATTATTATTATTAAGAACAACAACAACAACAATAATATTAATAATAATAATAAATATGATACATTAATATTTATGTTGAGAGATTTAATGCCTTCAACAAAGTCTTTGATTTTTTTTTTGAAAAAAAAAAATATATATATATAAAAAATAATAAATAAATTTCAAATATTTTATCATCATCATCATCATCATCATTATTTTATTATTATTATTATTATTATTAACAATAGCAACAACAACAATACAATAATATTAATAATAATAATAACATTTATTATTATTATACATTAATATTTATGTCAATATATTTAATTACTTCTACAAAGTCATTGACACAAACACAAACAAATAAATAAACAAATAAATATTGCAAACATTTTATTATTATTATTATTATCATCATTATAATTATTCATAATATTATTAATAATAATAAGTATACATTTAATGACTTTAACAGGGTGATTGACACAACTTTAAATTTCATAAAGATGGCACACAATTTTGAAACAAAATAAATAAACAAACAAATTAATAAATAATAAATAAATAAATGAGTATTTCTAATATTTAATGAATATTAACAATGATAATAATAACAACAACAACAACAACAATAATAATAATAATCATAATCAAAAGTAAACATTAATATTTATGTTGACATTTTATGACTTAAGGTCATTCACCAACTCCAATATCTCTAAAGATGCCACAAAGCAATTAAAAAAGGACTGCAAATGATTTTTGTTTCTTATAATAATATTTATTATTATTATTGTTATTACATTTAAATAATATAACACTAATTGTAATATTTGTATGCAGTTTCTAAAAAAAACTTGTCTTTTGCGGTCTTTGTCTTGAGTTTTTTTTTTCTTCTAAAAAGTGCTCACAATCTTTTTCAATTCAGCATCAGCCTGTCTAAAATTGTTGTATTACATTATAAATTCTTAGGAAAGAAAAAAAAAAGTTTGAATAATGAGTCTATTCAGAATTTGTTCCTGGTGGAATTTTCCATGCAGTAATATCGACGAGTGCGATTTCTCATTTTTCCAATGAAAAAAGTGGGGGAAAAAGAGCGTAGGGAAGCTGCAGAGGGGAGCCAGTGAAAACATAGGAGTCCATTTATTTTAAACGATGGGTAATGAACAGATGTCTTAGTCATTTTTCTGCCCAACTTTCAGCACGGCTTCACTCCTCTCTTCAGAAATGTCAAGTGTACAGTTTTAGCGGCATATTTAAGTTCACTTTCTGGGAAATGTAGGTTTATTCAGTGCAGGGATTCGTTCTGCTTCATTTATCAGCCTTATTTGATTATTTGTCATTGATGTAACTTTATAAAAGAATAAAAAAGTTATTAGCCCCCCTGTTTATATTTTTCCCCAATTTCCGTTTAACGGAGATAAGATATTTTTCAACATGTAATAGTTTTAATAACTCATCTTTGTCGTGATGACAGTAAATAATATTTGACTATATTTTTCAAGACACTTCTATACTTTCTATA